AAGATTTGTTAACATATAATGAAGCAGGATATTGGTAAAGCTAACTGGGATTAGAAGTCTACATCTCAGGAGCTCTGAGCTATTAAATGGCTGTAATGCAAATTAAATTTGTTCTGACTACGTAAGTCTGTCTCAACTAAGAGATCTGAGTCCTCCCTGTTCCAATGACAGATCCTTAGGGCAGAAAACAAGGAGGTGGCAAAGAAGCAAACCAAAACAAGTAGCCATCATGTTCCATTTTCATTCCATGCTTTCAAGTCTCCAGGGTTCATCTGAAGTTGCCTTTGGAATACTTCCCTGTGCACTCATATAGGCTATATTTGCATATACCTATTTGTGTGTTCTCTTACATGCACTCTTGTGTCTGACCCCTGCACGTGGCCATACCCTGCAAGGTGCTTACATGGGGAAAGAAACATGAGCAGGGACCCATGCTCAGTGAACTCGGGTACAAAGCATCCTCCAGCTGAACTTTATCTAAGTTTTGTCCRTCCAGCAGCAGCCCCAGACTGCTGCCCACCTGGGGTCACTACGGCAGGTACAGAGTGAAAGCTGCAGCACAAAACACTGTTCTCTGTGTTCCAGTCTCAAACACATTATTAGGGAGGAGCGGGCCTTTTTCCTTACTGGAAGCTGTGAAAATAAATCCAACAGTGACAGAGAGGTGCTCAGATACCAAAGAAATTGGGGCTCCAACCTTTTATTATTCAAGTGTCTCTGAGCCAAACATATCATTTCCTACAGAGAAATTCAGCCCTTTAGTTTTGCCAGTGATGGAAAAAGGTGCGTTACAGCCCTCAGTGCCACTTCCCATCTGTGGTACCTCAAGAAYTGTTCAATACATTACGCTTTAATCTGGATGTTCAAGCTATGAGCTCCCTCTAGTATTGCAAAAGGATTAATGCAGTCAGTACCTTTGCCACCCTACCAGAAGGAGGACAAAGGTAAGCAATGCCAGTAAAATGTGGGAATTCCTGTTTCCCTGTTGCACTGCTGGCAAAGRGTCCTTTGCACCCAGCAAAGCCTCTTCTCTTTTTGCCAGAAAAGTGGGTCTGTGGCTGTACAGTTGCTTGCCAGAACTGCAAGACCATGTAATACACAGAAACATGCTGCTTGCTGGTTAAGAGAGATGGCTCCTTCTCCCCTAGCTATTAGGGAGAAACCCGTGATCCTGCAGTGCAGGGAGGATAGCAATGCATATCCCARCAAAGGATAGGTGGGATATGGATGGCAATGATATTTGTGGTGCTTACCWGGGGTTTTCTCTGCACTGCAGCTTGCATTTATTGTTACACCAAAATGSGGTATCTAAGCCTTGCCCTTGACTTTCAGGCTCTTCACTGAGCCTCATATCTCCTGCCTCTTCTGCTCTCTCCAGGACTTGAGTCTATCCAGCACAAAGGAAAATCTGTTACGTGTCCAACAAAAGAGGTGCCTACTACAAGGCACAGGAGTAACCCTGCTGAATTGGGACCCACCCTGAGCACGTGCCAATGGCAGCACTGACCAGCTGCCAGTCACCTACGCTCTCCATCAAGTCTAAGGTAAAGCTGTCACYGGAAGGTTATTAGATACACCTAGCACAGTGGTCAAACATCGGAACGAGTTGCCCACAGAGGCTGGGGAGCTCCCACCCTTAGAAGTGCTCAAAATGCAGCCAGACAGGGCTCTGAGCAGCCTGCTCCAGCTGACCCTGCTTTCAGCAGGGGGGATGGACTGGGGCATCTCCAAAGGTCCCTTCCCTACGTCAGGTGTTCTGCAATTCTGCAAGTTAAGCATGTCCTAAAGGCCTAGGGGTGACAGGTTTTCTGTAGTTTACCTATGGCAGTATTTCCCATAAACAATGCAGTGAGACATTTGTATACTCTCCCTAGCATGTCAGTCTACACAAAGTTTAACATTTATTCTAAAAATTCGCAGTTCTCTTAACTCCTTCTCTTTCCCTGTCTACAATCCCCAGCAAGGGGAAGAACACAAAGGTTCTGCTTTGACTTTTCACAACATAATTGTGTGAAGCTATATATACAGATATGAATTTTGGTTTATGAGCCTCCAAAAGCACTTTCTAATGTGTACAGGGCAGCCTGCTGCGCACAGAACGGTTACTGCCAAGGAAGGAGGAAGACTAGGAAGCTATTTTCTCAGTCCAGATGCAATGCACAGCTGGCTGACTTAGGGGATTATATCAGTTCTTAAGGGTTCAGTTGTCATCAGTGAACTCTCACCTTTACTTCCTTTTGCTGCTCTTGGAGGCTTCTTGCTCACCCTCTCCTCTACGTTTTTTGATGTAGAGAAAGACATACAACGTCGGGCTCATGTCTATCTTGTGTTTCACCCCTTGTTCTCTCTCCTGCTGGATGCTGGGATGAGGGCTGCATCCCCTGCCAAACTGCAGATCTGCAGCACTTGCCTAAGCAGCTGAAACTCAAGTCTCTCTTGCTTGACCCTGGAGATGACAGAAAATTCTCAGCAGAACACAGGCTATCCAGAGGAAAAACAGGGTCTTAAAAAACACAAATGTTAAAGCCCCTACTAACACTCCAGAAAATCCAGTAACAGCTACCAGAAATGTTGGAAAGCATTTTGGGTGCTTCAATGACTGCTAATTCCCCAACCCCTTCTGACACTGCTTGTTGCTATATAACTGATCATGATCTGGATTAGAACTTCAAGATGTGAACAGGAAGACATCATCAAAATCAAACTGTAGTTCTCTCTTTTCCCAATACTATCTATTTTAATAGCAAGGCAAGGAAATGCTGATAACAGCAGAAAATTAAAACAAAAATATACATTGAAAAACAATTTATTTTTCAGCAGTGGTATTTTTTGTACTATCAGTTTGTTAAGAAAATGTTAACATCCCTCTCTGACACAAATTAATCAGACTACTGGTTCATTTAGTCAAGTAACTGATCACTTAGCCTTGACAGCACCAGATATTTCATCATTAAGTGCAAGGAATCTTACCTTTTCCAAGGTCTCCAAAAAATGTCCTGTCATCCTGTTATTCCCATCTCCATCTGTTCACAGTTAACTTGAACTCTCTGGGCTTATGGTTTAGATTTATAGGAGGTATTTATAGTTATGTCACCAAGAAGTAACATAACTGTTGATATTCTGTATTACCAGTCTGAATCATGTTTGGCCTCAGTACTACGTTACAGACTTGTGCTTTGCAGATAAATGATGTTTTCAGCAATAATTATTTATTCTTCTCAGTTTAAAATGGGTTTAGTTTTTTAATGAAAGTCCCCTTGAAAAGGAAAAGCACAAACAGTTTACCTTCTTTGTAGTAAACGCACAGTTTGCATCTTTATCACTCCAAGAACAAATGCAACAAGAAAAGCTTCCTCACATCTCTTATTTCTTATGAGAATGCTTTCRAGCAGTTCAGGAGGTCTTCAGCAGTGAGATTTTCAGGTATCAGTTAACACTAGTTTGGGTTCTGCGGCATCCTCTGGACAGCAACTTAAAACCACAGCGTGTCATCATGCGAGCAAATAAATCACCAGATCAACACTAGCCTGGCTTTGAGGCCATAATGTGGTCTGTATTTGAGAGAGCACAGCCTGCATTCCCTTTGGGAGYCTTTAGCGAGTAGAGAACTTTTCTGTTGAAAGATACATACTGTAAATTGGAAATTATCAAATTTGCTTATCACAGCATACCTCAGTTCACAACAGCTGGACAGAAAACAGACTCACACCCAGGTCTGAGCAGACTGAAAACAGGTCAGACAAGTTTAGCGGTTGTGTTGCGTTAGTTCTAAGTACATAAAACTGTCTAGCATTTGGGAAAAGGTGAAAGGTAGGTCCAGGAATTCATGTCAATCTACACATTACAGACAGATAAAATCCATCATCTCATTCCTCTTCCAAGGCACTAGGTAAGAGATATGTGTTCCTTTTAATAGACATCTCACCAGATTCATTTTTCAGGTAGCAATATATTACAAGTGTATTAATTTCTCAAGCACTGAGTTAGATAAAATGGAAAACCCTCTGCATCAAGATGTCTTGCACAATAGTGCACACATTTATATTCTGCAGTAAATTAAATTTGCATCCATAAAAGGATAAAGCCTTGGGTCAGTCAGAAGCTACAGCTTGGCCATCTTTGCAGGCTCACTCCATCCCTGCAAAGTGCAAAGCACTGAGCAGAGGAACTGACATTGGAGGGGACCTCCAAAAATCAAGTTTCAATTTTGAATCAAGGTTCAATCTCAGCTTTAGTGGGGTCAAAATAYCATCTAAGCACAGGGAAATTTAATTCCTGTATTTCTCATGTATGAGACACTCCCAGAAGTAGCATCCACAGTTCAGGGAAGTCTTCAAGATACTTTCCCTTTCATTAGATCCTATTTCATTAGAAAGACATGTTTTTTTACACAACTCCCTTGGAAGAGTAGGTTGACCTTCCCATTTCACAGAGGTTTAATTTGATGAAAGAGCATGTTTTATGAACCGATTACTTACCTTTAAGTTCAGTATTAAATATATAAGTAATATATTGCACAAAAAAGTCTGTTCATTATTTCATCTTTCACCAAAAATTTTGATCTGGAACTGGTCAGAAGTCAGTGCTATGGTTGATTAGCACATTGCAACAGTATCAGTCTTTTGAATACACCAAAGCACAAATATTACAGGTATAACCAACCAACATATTTAAAGCATCATATTCCTTATATCACACAACTTTATMATCTCAGCTGGAAAAGTGACTAGAGCTTTTTTTCAGTTGCATTGATAGCTCTATTCACCAGATATACAAACACAACAGTTTCTCAGAGTCTTGGTATATGGCATATAATAAAACATAGGTGAAATTTTTGAGGGCATGAACACATTTCCTTATAATAAAAGGAAAACTAAATTGCCACCAGAAAAATCAGTACATACATTGAAGGTCAAAGCAGCAATCGTGGATAAAAGGGGGCAGGGAGGAAAAAGTAGGGGAAGAAAAATCAATTTGAACACAGGTTTATTTTTTCGCTTTTTAAAAATGGTGTTTCTTTTTTTCCATGTTTTTCAACTGCTTTCTCGTGCGTTCTAGAACAGCCCTTTTAGACAAGTGTGTGGTGAAATGATGCTATGGATCAGTCGCAATTTTGCTTCTGGCATTACTGGCTGTTGTCTCGTTGGCTCCATGTAAACAGGAACAAATCTGTGAGGATACTGCTGATGTTTATGATGGAGCATGCTCAGGTCCAGAATGCCAGCTTGATTGATGGTCCAGGAATTATGAACATGTTCTCCAGGCTTTTCAAAAACAGGAGTTATTTTGGGTGCACATTTTCTTTGTATTATAGAGCTTGTTAGGTCTTTCTTTATCATTTTCCATTGGTTCTCTTCTAGAAACTTCTGACATAGTTCATCATCACTGAAAAGACAGCCCAAATATTTGGTTGTGAAATTTCACCTCTGATGGAGTCAGATGTTCCCATTTATTATAAAAAAAGCAAGAAGGATGTGGAGTAAGTGCTGGTTGAGCAAGTAGCCAAGTAGCCCAAACACTGGTTTACAGCTTCCAGGCTAACTTGCTTCTCAGACACATCCATTTTACTCACCTAGGATAGCGCTTGTGTAATTCAAGAACTTTTCCCAAATCTAGCAGCTTCTCAAAGGTGTCCTTCTTCAGCCATATGACCTCAGCATCCTTACTGACCAAAACCATGTTGCGCCTGTCTTGCATATGGTCAGGGAAGAAGTGCTGGCTGATGCCCTGTGGAAGAACAGAACAACAAAAATGATCTGTGTTGTTCAGCTGATGTTAGGCAGAGTTTAAGAGACTTATTATAAGGTGCCTTTTAAAGGAGGGATTCAACCAATATCATTAAGGAAGACTAAATGGGAATCTCTTGCTTGCTGCTTTCCTTGGCATGTGATATCAGCTGTTAGAACTGTGACAGCCTGACTTGCACTTCTCCCTAGAGAGTGCAGAGAAGTCTTATTGATATCTATACCTCAGCTTGGGGGGAGTGCTACGATGTCCTTGCTGCCCACCACCTCACCAAGTAGCAACACAGATCATAGCTCAAGCTTCAGAGGTTCTCTTGTAGCCCAACCGCAGATGATACTGAGAGGGCACATACTCTGAATGCCCGTATTCCTCCTTCCCTTGGTTTCAGGCCTTACCTGATCATCATAACTTACTGACAACAAACACTCCTGAGTCTATGAACCTAGAAAACCCAGGTGGAGTAAACTGGCATTGTCACTTTGCACTATAAAAAGGAAGTAATGCAAGAAAGAGCTGCTAGGAGCTATTGCTATGTCAAAASCTCAGCCTTATCCACCTTGCAGCAGCGGACAAGCATTAAAGGCTGCTACCTTGGTACATGACAAGGTTTACTTTGAACCCACTGACAGAGATTCAGATTTCAGAATTTCAGAATAAAGCTTTTATTTTCAAAATTTCTTATCAATTATCCAGTGTTATCTACCTGTGCAGAGCCATCCAATTAACTATTTGACTAATTACCAAATATATATAATATCAGAAAACACTAAGAAATGATTTGTGCAAGATCTCCACATGGAGATTCTGGAGTAACATGGAAGGTTGAAAAGATTTTCGTGATGACTAGTACAGATGTTTTTAATGTCACTTTGCTTTTGGAAATACTCACCACAATTTCTCCTTCATGAATTTCAGCAACTCTCATGCAAACTGTTAAGGCAAGATCAGTAGGTAATTTTCCACTTGGTGTCAAAATAGTCCTTGTCTTGTGGAAGAGCCCAGGCGCTTCCCGCTGCTGAATTTTTGTGCCACCACACTCATCATAGCTACAATTCCACACAAAAACAGGGGTTGAACTTCTTTACCTCCTCCTGAACAAGCATTTTGCTGCAAAGTGTTGTCAAGTAAGATGACTTTTTTGTGCCCTTCTGCATTCTCAATATATGCTCCCCGAATAAAATCTTTCATTCCTATGCCTGAAAGGTTGCTGCTTCCTGTACCGAGCCTTGATCTGTCCCTATATCCCACGATCACCTATTTCTAAAGGTCTTCATAAACACTCGGTGGGTCTGAAATGGAGCTAGCTACTTTTCTAAATCTGGGCCTTTTTGTAACATTTTCCTTTTCAGTCCATCATCATTGTCTTCATCCTGTCTTCTCATACAATCAATGTTCATACAGGCAACATATACATCTTATTTTAAGGTCTGCATAACTTTGAACATCCCTCTCCATGGAAACATACCAAATACATACAGTGAACTTTTCTATATGAAAGTCAAACTCTGTATGCTACAGGCAGGTCGATTCTGGTTTTTTTTATTTTAATATTGACATGTTTCCCTACATCTTCAATTAAATAACACTTTTTTTCCTTCTTTTTTTCTTCCTTTTTATTTTTCTYTTTTAAACACCTGAATAGTTTTGGGAGCATCCAAACTTGCTTGCTYTCCATTTTTCAAATATCATTTTTACTATAAGCCTGAATGCATTTTTTTCTTTGAATAAAATATTTTCACAGCAGCTTTGATGATTTCCTTGATGGACAACTTTTCAGTGTGTAGGCATTTTGAAAAGATAAGTCAGCAAGAGCTACAATTTATTCATCAAAAATTACAATTAAGGAACAGCACTTTGCTCTCATCCTCCCTTCCCTCAATMCCAAATCCCCACAAGTTGACTTTTCGTTCAAAACTTGTGTTCAGTTGTCCCTATTACTTAGAAAAGAAATGATCTTCTTATTCAGAAATACTTCAGAAAATAGAACTTACTGATTTGAACAAACATTTTCATTCTCAGTTTCTATTMACCTGTTTGCATAGCACATAAAAAGGTCCTACCTGGAATGGCCTCCTGCCTGTTGCTTCTCCAGGTTTTGATTTATCTTTTCAGCTCCTGCATCAAGGGGATGCCTACTCACGTTTTTACCATTCTGGCTCATATCACATTTAAGGTCCTGAGCTTTGAGATTTCTTAAATGTTGCTCTGGAAAGGTTTTCTGTGGAAAATCTTCAAATTTCTTCCTGCTTACAGCTCCTGAAAAAAGAAGAAACTTGGACATYTTCCAAGTGGTAGACAAGGAAGTTCCTCACTAAATTCCCAGACACTAATCCTTGCATTAGTGTGAAATGCTGCTCAGATCTACCAAATAGCACAAATAGAGGACCTCTGTAAGGCTAGCTCCTTTGGCAGGACAGGAAAGCTGCTTAATGGTTTTTAAATGATGCCGCAATCTCCATTTATCATTGCAGCCTCCAACCAGTTGTCTGATTCCTCAGTAAAGGTAAGACTTTCTTCTTACTATAAAAGAAATGTCTGAAAGCTGTAAAAAAGGCTCTGGAATTGCTCTTTAATCTTAGCAGCAGCATTAGGACAAAGCTCAGCTTTACAAGCATCTCTGGCTGTTGAGTTTGACCACGAGCATGTTATACAGGACTTCAGAATGGAACTGCAAAACAATCCTCTCCACAATCACTGCATATCCATGAAGCTACAATAAAATACACAGGTACCAAGGGCAATAAAGTTCTGAGTTATTAACTTGATGGTTATTCAGAAGTTTCCAGAGAAAGCCTGCAAGGGAACACAACTTACCAGTTTTTCTGGTGAGACACGGGACCTTGGGAAGATGTGTGAGCTGTCGACAGACCCATTTGTGATAGGATGGACAAGCAGTAAGATCAACCAGATGCAAAATTTCACAGGTCCCCTAATAACAAACAGGCATCATAACATTAACACACTAATGTCCTCTGTGGCTCTAAGTAAATCAGCCTTTTTCTTACTCTGTGGTAAGACAAGCACTTAYCAATCTACGTAAAAAAGGTTCTAGTATTATATCAACCTTGATGAATGTTATGATTTAACAATGATAACATTAAATAGTTGCTCCCCAATGGTTTTCCAAATGCAAACATTCTTTAGAGGCAGCATAAGGAGCATACATATGTGGCTTTCTTACAGGAGAAAAGCTAGCATGAAAGAAAGCTGCAACAGCTTTCTGAAAAAAAGTAAGTTATGGCAACTGGAATTCTCAAAAAAGTTAGTTATTGCCTCTAGCTCTAAATTTAAATAGTATAATTCCAGGCAGACCATTTATTGCTAAATCTTCTTAGTATCACTCAGCTGATAGTCAGTTGACAAGTTATTAAACAACAAAGTCTTTGAGACGTTTCAGAAAAAAAGCAGAACATTTCACCATCTCACAGTGCTTGCGTATAATATATTTCTGTAGGATGCCACTTAAACGTCTCTGGACACCTTATAGATCTTTATAATATTATGTCTGAAAGGCAACGTGTGTTTCTGAGTCCAGAGACCTCCAGTGTCTCTTAAGATACTCTGGCAACAAAATTAAATATATTTGATTTACCCACCTAAAGGCATTTCTGATGCAGTTGAGGCCCTATAGTTCAATGGAAAAAGTTATTCAGTAGTAATAACTGTGCCCATCAAAAAACAGGAAGTCATCTACTCCAAAAGCAAAGGGTAGATAAAAGAGTAAGCATGGAACATGAAGTTTCTGTCAAGTCTCTTTTGACAATTACCATTAATATTTAAAAAGTTTTTAAAACCTTAAAAACTAGTTTAAAAAGTTTTAAAATTATTTTCCTTAGAGAATACAAAGCAAAAATATATATATATAATATACTTTTTTTTCTTGCTTGCTATACTTCTTTTTCTTCATGAAGAACTTGTGTATTAGGCTCTGACACATTAACTTACACCGCATAAGWGATTGAATCTTTAGTAAAACAGATCCTATAACTATTTGAGTTTGAAAAGAAGCTGGACACCAGGTAAAAATATGACAAAACAACAAAACCAACAGAAACCAAACCCACCAAGGTATGGCACTTTATAAACTGCATTATCTCCCAGTCCTTCCAGGAAGGGCCCATAATTACCATTTCTGTTCTTTTTTCGCAGACTCTAAAGCAATGTTGGCACACCAGGAATATTAGTTAACCTCCAAAGGATATTACCTACCTTACTAATGAGAATTACACTGTCTGACTTGGTGATATCTTTTGTTATCACCTGTCCATAGTAAAATTTTTCCATTTTAGAGCTATTGGTTATTCTCACTATTGATCTTTTAGACCATTTTTCAAAAAATTTCACACCCCTGAAAAAGAAGCAATACAGATACTTTTTTTTTCATAAAAAAAATGAACTACCTGACAATGAACTTTCTGAAGAACATCTTTAACTATGAATTTATTTTTATTTTTGGCAGTTGTATCTGATAAGCCCTAGGCCATGGTTCCTAGAAACAATAAAACCAGTTCTAGGTTAGTCAGTGTCTTTTTTACAACTGCCATTGTTTCATGATGTAAAGCAAAGCATTCAGTGACTTTCCCAGATCAAGTTGCTGACAAGTTTAAAGAGTACCTTAGTATATGTATGTATGTATAAAAAAAAGGTAGGATTTGTAGCTGGGGTAGCAAACAATCACAAATCCTCCCAGAACAGCTGGTGGCAAAATAGCAGGTACCAGTTGTCCTGAAGTGCCAATTGGGAGTTCCTTTCCTTGCCATAGGATCTCATGAGACACTTGTTATAACACATGAAATATAACAAGACAATTGTTATAATGCTGTTTATATATGGTCTTCTCATATTGGRGGAGCTCATGGAATAGATTACACCTTAGCTAAACACTCAAAAAATAAACAAAAGCAAGTGATAATGTTTTAAGCAATTACTTGATGAAGTTATATCGATAGCATAATTCTTCCTGAAGTTCTTCATCTAACTTATTAGCAAAGAAGTCGTCCTTATCTACCACAAATAGCTTTGTATCTTCCAGACAGATAACTGTAGCCACTCGCCTTGTTCCTTTCAATACAGAAACTTCCTTTCACGGTGAGATGTGGAGAAAGGGGAACAAAAGAAAGATKAACTCAGTTAATGTTAGGAATTTAGCTGTCAATTTTGTAATCCAAACATTGTCCCTATTAGAGGCCACTAAATGTTCCATCTCACCCAATGTCCAGTCTGCTTAACCAYGATGGCCAGTGCTAGAGTTTTTCTTAGAAGGTATAAGAACCCAYATACAACACAAATTACATTCCAAGGAATTTCCCTTCTCCTTGCAACAGAAGGGTARGTTCCGAAAAGCACAGGAATACAGATCTCATTCCCAAACTCTTCCTACCCATCTCATTTATTTTCCCAGGAGTGAACTATCAGTATTTTTACCACAGAGGCCACTCACCCCAAACTTTGCCCCCTTCTGAAGCACCACAGGATACARTGCGGTCAAGGTGCTGCTACCATCCTCATCATCTGTAAGAGCAACGCTGCCGAAGTAAATGAAGTAGAAGCTAATGCCRCACTGTCCTTTCTTCAGGATAACTCGCCCACGTTCAAACCTGGAAAACAGAATGTGGCTGCTGTTATCCAGCAGAAACCTAACRAACTAAGTTTGTTCTGAGGTGACTTTGGGGCTAACATATACAACTGTAACAAGGTGAATGAGCAGAGCTTGAAAGGCCCAACTAAACACAGCTGGAAATACGGCACTCCTTTCTACCCACAGAATGACTTTTAAAAATGAAAATTGATCCTTCTTCTGTCCTGTTTAGAATATTCAAGGAAATAATTGCTTGCAGTGATCAAAGAGAGAGCATTAAGCATTTGGCCATGTGACTCGAGTTCAGATGTAAATTTTCAGTTAAGTTCATGTGAGACAAGGAGCCCTGTAAACCAGCTATGGTTTGCCCACATCCACTTAGAGAGCAGAGGCCAGTGAGAAACACTCGCATTAGCCCAGTCCATCTCAAGAAGGTTAGTTCTCCCTTCACTCCCTCTGAAGTATTATCTCCTCTTGCACCACTGCCCTCCACTGTTTCAAGGCTGTTAGTCACTTGCTAGTAGGAAGTTACCACAAGAGARCTCCAGATTAAGGCTTATAATTACCAAGAGGAGCAGTCTCAGCTCAAAGGGAGCTGGTAGTTGGTGCTGAAGGAGACATCTGTGGTTAGGTCCCTACGCAAGGTAAAGGGGACACAACGTGGTCTGCTGCACACTCTGGCAAAGGATCACCTCCTGTAGTAAGAACTTGAGATYTGATAGAAGGTCATAGCACTACTTTAGCAGTGTCCTCTGTGCCTTAAAAAGGGTCTAGGTACAATTTTCTAGGAGAGGATGAATAGAGACAATAGAGAGCAACGCTTAATGCGATTTTATTGCAATTTCAAATGGCTCAAGGGCACCTGACTTCTAGTGTAAATTAATATTTGTAAGAAACTAAGAATCTCGTTCATGCATTTTTGAAAATTCATAGCCCTAGCATGTACAAGGCAGCCCATAAGATGCACAAAACATTTCAGCTGTGTTAATGTCATAGCAGTTAACACCTTTGTTAACAGCAAAGAACATGAAGTGTGTTCATAAAACCCTTCTGGACTGAAAACATAGCTTACACAGTTATCTTTCCACTTCTAGCTGTGAGTTCAGAGCATAAGTAGCACTAAAATCAGCTATAATAAAAACGCATAATGCAAAAATAATAACCATTCAAAGCGAACCACTTTAGCCAGAAGAAATTGCAGTCTCAAACTGTAACTTCCATAGCTTTCTATCTCCTGCAAGCAGCTCTGCACAAATTTCACTTCCTCTTCTGTTCTCCATTCTGGTCTCTTTCTGGTTATTTGGATCACTCTCAGAGGTAAGTTATCCTGTGAAAACATTCAATGTCTAGTGAACTAAGAGCAAAAAGAAGCCACAAACATCTTCACACGTCAGAAAAACGAAGTGCCATCTTTGGGAATTAATCATGTATGTTTCTTAATTTCCCCTCATTTCATTTTAAAAGAAATATCTGTGAGCAAATTGCTGACTTTATCTCTAAGATATGAGTACTCAAATGAGTATGACYGAGTTTAACTAAGTTGGTTAGAAACTGAATGCTAAAACATGATTTTTAGGCCAACTTTGTGGCTAATTAGCTGAACTGCATGAAACAGTAAACCGTTTCCCTTCCCCATTGACCAGTATAAAAATCTTTTCCTAGGAGCTTTTCAAAATGCTCTGAGGAGCAGGAAGGTCGTATTCTACCCTTACATTTCCATTCCCTAACATGCCTTAACTGTTCTAAGAGCTGCCACTTCATGCAGCCAGGCACTGCTCCATACAGGATGCACCTCCATCTCCCCTCGTTGGGAAGAGCAGAGCTCAATGAGGCATCATTGAGAAGACAGACACCAGGAGCTCTGCTGCAGGCAAGAGCTCCAAAGCAGCCAACATTTTTCCCAGGAGCTGCAGAAAACTGCATGTTTTTCTGATTTTTCTTGAGCAGAAGATGGTTTTTCTTCTGCTCAAGAAGTACTGCAGAGTATGCAGGCTCAGTCACAGAATTKGTCCCTTGCCCAATTACAGCTCAGATCAGGAAGGCTCAATTCATACCCAAAGACTCTGTTAGTTCCTGGGACTTGTCCGTTTATGACCAAACTGGTTGCACTAAACCAGGGCAAAATCCAAGTAGAGAAAGTAAATTTACRATCTTTAAACTTAACCTGACACAGACGTTTACAATCAAAGCACAGCGGCTGTCTCCAAACACCATGCACTGCCTTTGACATATTATCAAGTGAGGGTTATGCAAAATGATTAGGAAGTTCCCTCAAGTGATGGGAGAGGTGGTGGRGGTGCAGCTGGGGTCCCCACCACCCTGGGGCGGTTTGGCTCAATAATTGCTGCTCCTTTCTTCTTTTTGTGAGAGAACCTGACAATGTCGGCGATTTGCAGACCACCTGCAGGAGAAGAAAAGGGGCCAGACCTTTGAAGCTCTGAACTTGCTGATGTTGAAGGATGGTTTGGAACACTTCTTGTTCTGGATTAAAAAAGAAAAAAAATATATATATATATATACACATATAATGTATATATTGGGAAAAGCTTTGTTTTAGGCTAGTACAGAGTGAGCAAGTATACACTAATACCTTTGCATAAGACAAATTTCTGTAGCTCTAGTACATTGCCTGTTTTATTCTGCGAAAAACATCTTCTAGGAAGGTCTTCAGACAAAAGCTCACTTATGACAAAACATGTTTTTTGTAATACAAAGCATTTACTTTAAGCATTCTACATTTAAGCATTTACTAAGCATTAAATTTAACATTTAAGCATTTACTAGATACTTTATTTTGTAAAACATTTAAGAAAAATTATACTGACAATTGAAGACCAGGAGGCACCACTGGCCCAGTTTCATTGTGCCATGCACAGATGACAAGCCTGGAAGAGCATTCATAGGCATGTGGGTAGATACTGATACAAATATTGAAACCTGCTCCAGACACCAGTCAGCTTGTCAACTAGAACAGAGAAATACACTCATTTAATGCTTGAAGAGATTTACTTTTATTCCCTGTAGAAAAATCCCTTCCTTCCTGCCAAAGAACGGGAGCTTTACGGAAGTAATGTCGTCAGTCTCTAATCTCTTCTGTTCCTGCAGGTCTTCCCATAAAATCCTACATATTTTCTTCATGATCTTGATGTCCCTTGCAAGCTTGTAGAACTTTGAGAGAGCAAACAGAAAAAAATATCTATGTCAGGACATGAAGAGAGATCATCTGCCTTTCTTACGGGATACAGGCAGGACTAGTAGTGAAGATACTAGTCTGGGTATGAGGATGCTTGGACTCCTCCCTCTCCCACTGATCTCCCTGTGATGAGGAGTCTATGCTCCTGCCTCTCCCATTCCATTTGATTGCCACACCTAATTATACTTTAAATGCTCTGTAGAGACAATGACAACTATTCTACAAGCAGTAGAATTGGTCTCTGATATTTGCTGGAGCCACCAAAATTCACCAGTATTTAACTAAGAACAGAGATGAAAAAAATAATAGTATTTTGGTAGCAGCCTACGCTGTAGTGACACTAGCATGCTGTAAAAGAGAGAGTACACTAGAAAAATAACCAAATGGCAGATCCAATAGTGTGCAAGTTTTTACTCTCTTTGCTCTCTAGTTCCTTCATACTGAGGCCCCAGAAGTAACAATTAAGCAATTAGTATGCTACGAAGAGATTTTCACCTTCCTCTGAGCCTTATCCATCTTCATTAGTAAAAGGATATGGAAGAAAGAGAAATTTAATTAGCTTAGAGCAACCTGCTCTTGTTTGAACAGGCAGACTGCCATTAACAACCCCCATGACGTGTCAAGCGACCAGCCAAAATGCATTGCAGAGTGCTGAAGATGACCGTTACAGAAATGAGAATTCCAGGTATCCACATTAAAAAAAAGACCTGATTATAAGTGTTCTAAAAAAAAAAAAAAAAATTAATCTGTAATACCTAATACTAAGGGAAAAAAAAATCATTATTCCCCCCTTCCATATACAAACATACATCCTGCTATCATGTGTTGCTATTTTGGCTTCTCCCCTCCTTCCCCAACACCATACCTTGGTCACTGCATGTTGGATGGGCCTGCTGGATACCTTCTGACCTACACAGAAAACACCACAGAGCCTCTTTTACACAGTGCTTCTTTCAGTCATTCACAAGATGCGCTGCGAGCAAAGACAATCCCTGCTAATGGGATAGAGAGCCTTGTTCAAGAGGGAAGGGCAGGTCAGAGAGGAYTTCCCTAGCAGAGATCCATGAAGAGCAGCATCTTCTCACAGCCCCATCCCCAGCTACAGCACACTTTGTGCTTCCTGCAGCAGCTTCTTCTTACCTACTCTTTTGAGCATAGATCTGCTTGAACAGGCTTCATTGAACAAATCATACCTTTYAATCACCAGCAAGCTATTATTCACAAGCAAAATTAGCATCTCAAGTGGTAAAGGAGAGGCCAGTTTCTCAATACAAAGCACTAACAGTAAGGAGAAATTATCCTTTCCTCTTTTTTTTTCCTCCCCTCCTCTCATTCCTTCAGTTACTGTACATGAAGGAATGGCCCTGTGAAATCAGGGGGTCTGCTCTTCACCCAGCTCCCATTCTGGAGATGTGGTTGTTAAACGACATTGTCAAACCACAAACAAAGCAAGAAGGAAAGAAGAAAAAAAAAAAAAAAAAAAAAAGAAAGAAAGAAATTAAATGAACACAGAGCCTTAGGATCCAGGGGAGATGAAACAAATGCTGTCACAAGGTAAACCTCACCAGTATTACTTGCGGAGGGAAATCATCACCTGCTGCCAATAGTGTCACAGCGAAACAGTGAGAATGAGAGCACCTGAGTGCCCAGGGGATGTGGGTGGAAGCTCTGGGAAGCATGAAAGAAGAGAGTTGGCTGGAGACTGGGAATGCTTGAGGTGGGCAGAACTGCAAACAATGGTGACAAGGGGAGCAGCAAATTAATTCAGTTAGAGGAAAAAAAATCAAACAAAAAAGGCATATTTCACTAAGATGTAAAGGAAAAGAGGCTCCTGTGTTAGAGGAGTTTCTTCTTTGTATTAAAAGCTAAGAACGGGCAGACATGGAGTTGTCTCTGGTACTCACCAGAACCCAGCCATCTCTCTTGATCTGAAGCACAGGTCACGCTTTCCTCTTCTTCCATATCTGCAAATTCCCTCCGTGAATTCCTGGCCCAGCCCAGCCACAATTCTGGAGCTGCACGAGGCCTTTGTGAGGGGCTCCCAACTCCATTCTAGACTTCCATGGCCCCAGGGCAGCCTTTGGGGCCTCCCCGGAGGGCCATCAGCTTTCACACATCCTTGGGATCTCCTYCCACTTGGAGCTGTCCTACCTGCTCACTCCTTCCTCCCCAACAACCACTGCCCTCACCCAAGCAGCTCTTGTATTTTCCCCCATTAACCCCTCAGAACCACAACACAGACGTATCTTTAAATAAAAAGTAGTTTACATTTGAATAGAAATATTACACATTAAATTAATATATAAATATGTATATACATACAAATATGCACACATTTGTGTCTCAAGATTTTGTACAAGCTGCAATAATGTTCATACCAAGTTTGAGTTCTTGAACAGCACTAAGAGGACTCACTGACATTACTGTTTGCCATCTAAGAAGCCACCCTTGAATGAGCCCTATGGACATATGTCTTCTTATAAACTTTACGTATGTCTTTGTATAATTTCCTTGCCTTTTAGCAAAAAGGTTTTTTTTTTTTTTTTTTTTTTTTTGGCAAAATGAACACGTGAAAACAACAACCACAAGAAAAAGAAGTAAACATGAGAACACATCTACAAATCCAATAAAAAGTCATATCTGTGTTCTTTGTACCAAATGATACAGATTTCTCAGGGAAAAAAGAAAGTCTTGAGTATTCTACTCAAATATGTATAAGTGCATCAAAAGTTGTATTGTTTACTTGTGAGGTTTTTATGTATACAAACAAGAGATTTTTTCTGTGAACTAAGTGGATATTAGTGAACGAATATGTTAATGTGAATAGAGAGACTGAGTATGAGTTCCATCAGCAACACGCACAAAACTAATATAAATGTACTTTTTAAAAAGGAAAGGTTATTTTACATTAAAAGATAACACAGTGATAGACTAGAGTACACATTTGGAAGATAAAGAACTGAAATTCTTTGAAAAGAAATGTATCTGGAAAGAAAAATGGGAGTATTGATTGAAGAAACTTCTCTTTTTTCTCTCTATGAACAGAACTTTATCCTTTATCCTCATTTTTTAAAAATTAACTGTTTTTTCTTAATTACTGCTTCTTTAAATTTCTTCCAACTTTTCTTTTCTATTGTTTTCAGGTTACCATGCAAATCAGACTGAATTACAATTACTTCATACTTGCTATTTAGAATAGACTAAAAGCATTTTCTTCAGGTGCAAGCAATAACCAAAAGTCTAAGCATCTTGACAAATATCATTCAGCACAAGATTGGACTGTAGCTCTTGATGAGAAGAATYGTTTAAGAACAGACCTATCAAGGAGGGAAACTAAGTAAGAACTGGGAGAAAGGCCACTTTCCTTAACTTTTCTCCAGTCACAAATTTGTCACCTTCTTTGAAGGAAATTAAAACTGAAATAACCTATTACTGGTAAACTTTAGCTGTAATCTATTCTTTTGAGAAGAAGCATCCTCAAAAAGTAAGAAGTAAATCTCAAAAATGAGTAATAACGAGACAGGTGATACACCTTGCTATACATTATTTTAAATCCAAAGAAGAGGAATTAAAAAAAAAAAAAAAAAAAAGGTAATGAAATCACTGAACAGAATGGAAGGATCCACCCATTTTTAGCATACTGTTACTAATTCAAAAATAAAAAGGTGTTGGCTGGGTATTCTGTAACTATGATTGCAGCAGGAAAGAACATCCATTCTGGACAAGCGCTCACAATTTAACAAAAAGCAAGCCAAAACAGACTAAAAGGGTGATCATCATGGGATTTACCTACTCAGAAATGAGAACGGCATACCACAAAAGAGGTCAGTGTACAAACAAAGCATGAGACTCCAAAGAACTGAAGATTCTCTAYGTGCTGGCATGATAGAATACTCTTATCAAATAAAAGCATTATCTTATTGGAAAGTTCCAATTTAAGCTAACCCACAAAGAGTAGCTTTAAATGAGCAACACTAATAGTATTATTCAACCTCACAGAAGTTAATATATTTTAAGGTAAGACTAAAACATAGCACCTGCCTAACAGATGCTGCATATAGAAGTTTTGGGAACCCAAGTTCAATGGGAGACTTTAGAAAGCTTTAGAAAACACAGAAGGACATTAAAAATAGTTTTATATGTCCAGCAGCTAAGTTATACCTGTGAATGCCTTSATTATGTGTTAACAACACTAATGATTTTAAAAATGTTAATCTTTATATTCAAGTAGTATTCCTTTGTTTTCTACCTAATTTAAATATTTTTTCTCTTTTAGTGTGAAAGATAGAACTCCTCAGTTGCATTCTTGTACAGCATACAGGAAAAAAAAATCTAACTATGACTATATTCTCAAGAAATATGAACTAATAATGGAACTGTTAGCATTGCTGTACACGGACTGCACATTGCTTTAAAAATTCAACATCTGAAGCAAAACAGGGTTTTATTAAACCTAGCATCTAAGTTGGGGTGAGTTTCATTTACTGCTCTAAATGGATTTCAAGTTATTTGTAGGTAGAACTAAAGAAATGTGTCTGTCACTGATCACGTAACTCTGTTTGTGCCRCTTAGGACTTTGGTTTAAATGTTGCTGAAAGACATTCCTTGATCATATTCAGTTTTTAAGAGACACCCATCAGCTGCTCTAAGAACTACAGACGACTTCAGTCCAAAATTGCTACTGTTAGAAAGAAGATTTTGTTTCCTGAATATTCTAATGGCTGCACATTTACACATATTGCTTGGATTTATATGAGTTGCTTTGTCTTCCTGGACCTCTCTCAGTTAGTAATGCATCAGCAAGACGCACACCATGAACGGCAGCAGGTTAAATCGTGCCCGACTTTATAGTGTAAGAACATAAAGCAAAAAGGAGATGAGCTGAAACTGCAGCATCAATGTTTTTCCAGCAGACAGGACTCCTGCTTTCAGATGTGAACAAAGGCAGCTTGCAGCAAATAACCTCATTATAAAGACAGAGCATAAATTCAAAGATGTCAAAGTTGAAAACCTTCGCTGCTACAATTCACATGCTTTTCTTCATCATTCAATCTCACTTTCACCTGGCAACCTCACCTTTCTCCTTTCCTTGATCTTCACACCATTAACATCACGATCAGGTCAAAGTTGCACTTTCTTCTTCCCATATCACATTTGAAACGTAGCATCTGGGACCTTCACTTGAGTACAGAACTATTGCTGTGTTGAAGCCCTTTGTGCTGGATTCTGGGGTCTYGGAGCTGGTAGACTCCACCATTTCTAGAGCACTGTAACAATTGAGGGTCTCAAGGAGATAAGCAAAAATCAGTATTTTGATCCACACTCTAAAACGAAAGGATTTAATTGTGCAAGATCTTCACAAATGCTGACCAAAATGGGCCATCTGGATACCCTCTAAACTACTCAAAACTTGAAATAGAAGAGAGAGGTGGAATTCCAGATGGGAAGTGAATAATTGGAATTGGCAGTGAACCATATCAGCTGTAAAGCAAAGCAGCTGTCCATCAGAACCTGTGTAAAATATGCCTAGCCTGAATGGCACAATTTCATTTTTAAAAGATTGGCACGAYTTTGATAGCATCCACCTTTCTTTCCAAGATGTTTTGAATCCTTTGATCTGAAAAATCCATGCAGCATTCTACATTCAAATAGGTGATGAGCTCTGGTGGACTCTGATTTTATCTGTCTCCACAGACAAGAGTTTTTCTCTGGGTTCTTGTTTAACACGGCTCACACAGAYAATACCCTCTGGATTTTCTTCAGCTTAAAAGAAAAACAAAACATTGAAGTTCAAACTCAAGTTATAACACTTCAGTCTCAATAACTGCATGCACTTAAAAATAATAGTGGTAGAATTAAAACAAATAAGCAAGGCATCTGTAAAGCTAATGGCTGAGTAGTCTGACAGGCAGCTATGTTGTCTATTGTGTTACAAGACACTGCAAGCTAAAACAAATTTGCTGCAGTAATATACAGTAAATAAGAAAGAATATTTAAAGGGTTCTACCCCAAAATAAGCTTAAAACTATAAAATTACTTCCCCAAAAATATTTTTCCTTTTCCCTTTAGAAAAATAAATCTACCTTTTTTTTTTTTTTTTTTTTTTTTTTTTTTTTTTTTTTTTTAAAAAAAAAAAGAAGGTGCTATGGCTGAAAGATCACATTTCAGTTCACACTAACCCATGCTGATTTAAAGAACGATTTATACTTCATTCATGACTGGCACGGCCATATCTCAATGCCTACACAGATAAGGACCTTATTCTTAAAGCTATTCTTAAAGTGCCACTTGTGTGAGAGACCAGACAGGAACAAAACTTCTTATTATCAGGAAGGCTGCAACTTACTAAGCTGATGGCTGTCCATGTTTAGCACCGGAACAGTCTGTACATCGCCCAGGAGAATCGGATGGACTCCTCCTTCCAGGCCTCGGGCGTCATCTACCCCTTCAGCTGCTACCAGCTGGTCCATGGTGACCAGACCGTGCTYGGAGCCAGGGGGATGTCCCAAAGCAGAGCCTGTGGTGCTACGCTGGGTTAGAACAGTGCTCACTTGCAGGCTTTGCTCCTGACTAACTTGGTTGGTTAYTGGACTCCCTATGGGATCCAAGAGACTTGCAGAGCTGGGAGGGGAATGGTTATTCACAGCTATCAGGGCTGTTGATCCATTCGTGGAGCTAAATGTTGACTGCAGCTGTAATCCCTGTGAAAGAGAAGGCACAAGTACTAAAACATCATTATTTACAGCAGAAGGAATTTGCATTTAACACTACATATTTTGCTTCTGACTTGCTATACATCATCTCATTCACACAGTCAGCCTTCCTTAGGCTAGACATGTGTTAGAAAAAACTCAGGATAAGGGTGTTCACTAGCATCTAAATGACCATAACACTGTAGTTTGCAATTGATGCTCCCTATCCAAATGTGACTTGTTTCCCCAGTACTGCCTCTTCTCCAGAGGGACAGGTACTAAAAGCCAGACAGCTTTAAAAAGAGAGTGGGCCGGGGCCACACTGTCTTCTGAAAGAGGAGGAACAGCAAGCAGAATCTTATCTTGCAGCAAGCTGCATTCCTAGGTAAGAGATCACTAGGTTTGAGGAAATAAGGCAGCAGTTTGCCACAGGAGTGGTTAAGGGAAGAAGGCTGCAAGAGACAAGTTTGAAGGGAGATGATCTTTAGAAGTAATATTGGCATAAGGTACTTATACCTTTCTTCAGCATTTCAAACTAGAAGTTTTACAGATCTGAATTTTAGAATATTCGCAGATTTTAAGAGGCTAGAGGAGGATTTAGAAGAAATAAAACAAAAGACCAATTTATCACCCAGCAGTTTTGCAGCAAGTTCATTATGAAATGACTGCACCTGCTGGGGAGGAAAAAAAAGAAAAAACAAAAAGGTACGTGGCTAGAGGCAGAACTCCACTACCTTCATCTGCTTGGGTCTGCCTTCACAAGAGACTCCAATCTCAAAGTGCCAAAATACGGCAGTGGGATCCACGGGATCCCTTGTTCAACTACAACTAGATGCTAACCATGTGCAGAGAAGGGGCAGAGCAGGACCTGACTTCTGTTTCAAACACACATTCCCTCAGCCACTGTTTGGGATAGTTAGGCGAGGGAAAACTCGTTCTCATCTCATCTTTAGCATTCTCAGTACAGAACATCTGATATTGTGTAAAAGAAAGGAAGGTCTGAGATGACTTGACTGTACCTGAAGTTGTGCAAATATCTTGGGCTGAAATGAAGAGAGTGACGACAACAGTTGAGCTGTTTGTGGTAGCAGGGACTCCCCGCTATGGCTGCAATCTGCTTTGSTGATGACCGGCTCCTTTGCTGGACTCCCTAGAGGGACACAGGGAGTGAACAGACAGTTGTATCTGTGTTTAAAAAACTTCTTGGTGAATCCAACAAGCCCGCTCAGCCTTGATGTAGACATATAAAGACACGTGCATGTATCTGGCATTCTCTGTCTTTTTTCCAGAAAAGCATTTAAAAAAAAAAGTAGAAAGATGGTTTATATGTGTTCAGAGTGTAAAAAGAAGTACCAGTAARTGTGATCCACAGGTCGAAGTAATTGATCTCTGTGCTTTTCTAGTTACCATGTAAAAGCAAAAATCTCTCCATCAAAGCATCAATCAAACCACTGGGCCACGCTTACATTTTCAGTAAAGCCTCAATCATAGATAAACATTAAAAGTAAGGATTGCCTTCCAAAATAAAATTCTGCACAGCAAATCCTGCAAGCCTCCCAAGTACCTTCCAAGTGTTGCAGTGGAATGAGGATGACTTTTGGACTATCTTGCACCAAACACAATTTTAAAGAAAGTTGATTTACCTAGAAGCATTTAATCCTACAGGTTACATCACATTCTCAAAACTCTTAGTTAATGCAAGACTGAAGACTTAGTTTCCTCAAAACTTGGGGAAACCATGATTCACTAGTAATAATTTCTGCAAGAAAACTTTCCATGGGATGACTTCACTTCCAGTTTGAGACAACACCCAAAGCATTTTGGATAGGATTGTATTTATAAGGATACAAATTAACATCACTCAGTCTCCTATTTTGCAGTTTCACTGCTCTAACTGCAAAAGAGCACGCCATGTGCAAATGGATTAGCCTGGTAAACAGAAAACAGAATGGTTAGCAACCATGAAAAGCTTTCTAATAAGAAACTATAGAGTCCAGCAACCTGAGCAGCCAGAGGTATGTTTTAACATGTACACTCAATTGCAAGCTATAACTCTTTATCTTACTAACGAAATAACAGAGTCTATAATTCTCCTTGATCACAACTACTTCCAAATTTTATGTGCTTTTTAATATTTATATAGAGATCTCCCATGCATATACACTCAGTCAGAATGCCATAATTTTTAAAATACATATGATCCTTATGCATAAGGTTACAGTGATCCTTATGCATAAGGGAGAAAGAAAAAAAGTGGTACCATATGCTGAATAGCCTATTTAAGGTCAAAACAGAACTCTATACAGCAAGGAAGTAAACAATTGGGTTTCAGTTCTACTAACGCTCGACTCTTTGAAGGAACATATCCACGTGAAATTGTCTCAGTTCAGCACAAGTTGAAATAAAATTAAAATATTTATTCAGAGAATGGTTGGAGAAATTAGTTTTCTTCCCTTCCTTGCCACCATTTCACATATTTGGATGTGAAATATTTCTTCAGAGTAAGGTATCTCTTTTTGCTTAGACATGCAATAGTCATGTGCTTGCAGTATTAATGTCAATTATAATCAGCATGCAGAATCACCCCACATATTTAAGTGGAGACAAGATATGCTAGAATATGTGTATGTGCTTACATCCAGGGAATCGGTACTTGAGTTGTGCAGAAAACTCATCAAATCCAATTCCCTCTAAATCCCTCTAGAACGTAGCATTTCACTGGATGGATACGTACTTGTTTGACAGGATAATTTGCCTTAGCAAACTAATCAGGAAGGAAGAAAACAAGAATTGGACTTTCTGAACCATCAGCAGCACTCGGGTAGTTAGTAACAAGAGTCATCCTTGTCAAGTGCTCCAGCACAGCTGCTGAAGGCAGCGCCTCTATCCTGTGCCTTCCCACAAAAGCACAGAAATGTTCATGTGGATGTGTATGTTGGAGCACAGTTACTCTGCTCATACTGCATATTCATTTCTTGCCTAAAAAATAAATGTAGTTCCCTAAAGAAAAAAGGGGGACACCATTTAAATTCACTCAGCCTAAAAATTTACCTCCTGTCCTGTGACAGTTGTCCACACCGAAATTCTTACCTTAAGAGCTCCAAGTGTATGAGACGTTTTTCAGTTCAAACTGATCCAATACGGCAACAGCTAAAATAAGAGTTAAAAAAGGCCCAACTTCAGCCTGTTTACTAACTGTAAGAACACTGGTGTACAAAGAACATCTTTATGCGCCTTAGGTTCACCAGGTTATTTAGGAGAAGTCACACAATGACCTAAACTTTTAGTGAGTTATTTTTTCCTGCTACAAAGATAAGAAACAGATTGGGGAACRGCAGGGCCCAAAGGGAAAGAAATCCAAACTTAAGAGGACTTCTTCAGGCAAGAACTGCCATGGAGGATAACTGTCGACACAGGTAAATCTTTAAGCGTAACAATCTTGACAGGGCCCCTCGGACTCCTGCAGACAGAAGCACCCACAGTGTCTTCCAGGAAAATCAGGGAACAAGGTGGTACCTCACAGTAATGCCACTCCGATAAGTAACGCTCGTGTAGTCTCTAGCATTATTTTAATGTAATCTATACAAGCAATTGGGTTCCTGACTTGCTGCAATCATATCTCTGTGATGCAACTTCCCTGAAGTTTCATCTCTAACATATTAAACAAAGAAAGGGCACACCATTCACAAACATGCACACAAGTCTCCTTTTCTGTGTCACACACTGGGCAAAATAGCCTTGAGAGAGACTATTATCAGGTAGAAAAGGAAAGAAAATTCTCATTTTAAGTTTACTATCAGCCACTGTGGTGTAAAGGAGCAGCTCAACCTATGTGTAATGCTAACTATGTGCATAACATGCAAATGCAGTTACAAAGATTTTGTTTCAGAACAGCTTTTAAAGCTTAAGTAATTGTAGGTAGCAACTCCCTTTTACAGCAGAGAGTGGAGAGTTTAAAACTTTGTGAGGTGGCCACCAAGTGGCAAGAGATGCTAGTTTGGTCTGACACACTGCTGAAGAAGCCACTCCACTTAAAGAATTGCCAGTAAAATGAAAGAAACATCTCCTCAGGGATATTCACAAGTTGCGAGGACACAGTGGGCAATGTGCTCTAGGTGACTCTGCTTGAACTGCGGAGAGAGCRGGACTAGATCTCCAGAGATCCCTTCCAACCTCAGCCATTCTGTGATTCCGTCTCTAAGAATTACGAACAGGCAAGACAGTGTTCTCAGTTCTGATGATAGAGTTACAGAATTATTTGTTCAAGCCTGATTTTGGATGTGGTCAGGGGAAATCAATAAACCAATGAGATCCTAAGAAGTAGGAACAAGTCCTTTTCTAGCACGAGAGCTAAGAATGGGCCAAGCACAGACCATCAAGGACCTCAGGTATCCAGCTTCTCCCTACTGAGTGCCATCACTGATATGAATGACTGACCAGTCTGTTCGGCAGGAATTTCATCTGCACAGATATTATTAGCACCTTCATCCAAGTCCCAAATATTTTTCCAAATAATTATCTCGCCAAAATCTTCACTTGCTTTGGAATGCTAAATAGAAGCCGGATCTACAATTTTTAATCCCATCAACCATACCAGGAAATATTTTTTACTTCAGTACATAAAATCAAATGATAAAAACACACACAGACAAACACAAATGCTCTCTTCTGCCCCCAAACACACACAGAAGTCATCTTTCCTCTTAAATTCAGCTGATGGAAGGTCGTGATAGTAACCTCTCTGGAAGGAGATTGAACTTCTGTGACAAAAGCAATAACAAAAAAAATCACATTTSGAGATAGCTAAGTTATTAATACAGTCCTACCATCTGAAGGTGATGAGGCAAATGTAACAGTCACCGTTTCTGTGAGCACATTCCCACTGTCTGTGGTCCACTGCAGCTGAAATGAAAGAGATCTCAGTTCCTAAAAATTGTGCAAGATTGTGTGTGTACAGGAACACAGGCTCAATAGCACCCACAAGAATACAGGCACTGAAAGTCAAAATCTAAAGTTACTAATAACTACAGATTTTGGACATTTTTGGTTTACTTTATATATATATAAAACATTTATTTTATATATATATATATATATATAATATATATATTTTTTTTTAAGAAAAAAAAAGCCCAACACCTATCTCCCAGAAAAAGGCTCTGAATGAAAACTGAAACTTTGTAAATGATTCCTAGTATGTGCTGTAACATGAAGGCTAAAGCCTTCTTGGATGGATTTAAATGAAAATTAGTCTAATAGTTTGAGTGTCTAACATATAACTTTTCTCAAAGGAGTGGCTGATAGTACTTAAATATTCAAAATGCTGTAAAAGTCCCAGTTGAGACTGCATCTGACACATTTCACCCCCATTTTTTCAGATATGGGAAGGTAGAAGTACTAACTTCTCCAAAACAGTACATAATAAAATGTCTCAAATCTTTTTTGAGGGATGGGCATTTTTCCATACTACACAGCCTCCAGTTCTTGCAGTTGTCATGTAAGTGCTAGTATTGTATAACATATCAATCAACTAAAATCAATCTAAYGCTAATGAGATAAGTATTGAACAAAGCCAAACAATTTTATTCAGACTGAATCCAATTTGGCTGAGCCAGAGCTTGCACTGAAAATTTTGCTTCTGTGAGTATTAACTCAGTGGCAATTTGACTGAAATGTGTCTAGACAGTAAAAATTAAGTAAGACTTGTAGTATTTAATCCAAGAATCCAAAAGAAACACTGAAGCCAACAGTACTGTTGCTGGTATGCTGTCTGAGTCATACTCCATCTCTCCATTCCTCAGGGACTTCTGCACTTCATGAATGTGGTTCTTGATGTCATTCACAGTGGGGAAGAAAGACAGGTTATGCCTCTCCGGCACTTCATCAGGCTTGAATAATTCTCTTTCCACATACTTTCTGTCATGTGTTAAAGGAAGTAAGATAAATATTAGAATCATAGAATCATAGAATGTTTAAGAATTAGAATATTTACAATCTATTGGGGTATTTCCCTCTGCTACACAGAGGGAAAGACAGCAAGCTCTTAATAGAAGACAGCAGCTCTTAATAGCTATCTATAATAAAATGAAACATATAATGTGAAAAATAGATTCTAACAACATATGAGAAAAACATTCTATAATGTAACAGTACTGCCATTAAGTTACAAGCCATTTAATCAAATGTATTGGACAAGTGGATATAGCAGTACAGACTGAGAAAGGTGTGATTATCCAGCCAGGCACTGCTGTACCTTAGTTGCTTCCTCACTGCATAGACCTGTTGTACTCCCTGAGACACCAGCTCTCGGATCTTGTCTGCTACTTGGGGATGAAGCCGAGAAGGCAACGCACAGTTCTCCTCTCCAACAACTTCTTCCTCTTCCTCTGGAGAAGGCATAGGAAAATGGGAAGGCGAAGGAGGAAGGCACGAAGTTTCCATTTCATGATACTGGTGGGCTTGCTGAGTGGGTAACTGTACATACCACCTGGCAAGAGGAGAGAATTTCTATGAACTATTCTCAAGAAAAGTTAACAAAAAGAATCTCTTGGGGAAAGTCTGATGATGAATGACAAATGACTGAGTTTTTACGTAAGCTTTTACTGCTTCTGAGCTGTAAGATGAGAGTCCTTGAGTGCTTAGGGCTCTCTCAAAGTTTTTGCATTGCTAAATAAAATAGATTAAATGCCCAAAATAATACAGCTATTCCCTGCACAGCAACACCTGCTCGAGTTTCAGTTTGGTGTGCAACACATCTACCAAACTCAATAATGCAGACCCCATAAGTCTTAACAACATTTTTCTTTTTTTAATTCTTTAACAAGAGCCTTAATAACATGATTAAAAGAAGAAAAAAAAAAAAAAAACAGGGAAATTATTTCTTTTTTCTTCATTTGTCAAGATAAAAAGAAACAAAARACAATTGGAAGTTTCACCTGAGGACACCTCCAGCATCTATCAAATTCTTCTTCAGCATGTTGAATGCCTTCTCCTGCTCCATTCTTATGATTTTCTTGTCAATTTTAGGGTCAGTTGAAACTCTATACTCTGGAAACTTTTGAACCTTCTTAATATAGATCCTTCCAAGTGGTGGAGAATAACAAAGAAAAAGAAAAATTCTACTTTGTTACACTTCGCCCTCAGGGGAAAACAAAAAATCCCATTTACTCCATAGCAGATATTACCTACAGAAAAAGTTCAAGCCACATCATGCAGGGATGAAGAGCCTCTAATGGAGCTGAGGAATTGCTAAATGCTCATTAGCAGAGATGGACACAGACTCTGAACTTCTGGTGCAGTCCACATCAGAGCAGTGATGTAAAATCCCCCATCCCTCAGCAGGGTACACAAAGCACACCACCACTGCAGCCAGGCTGTGCAAGTTCACCCATCTTGAAGTCATCTGTAAAACTGGGAATGCAATTCTAGGCTGGTATCTGAGGGAACATGGATGCTTTTGCTTTAAGAAATTCTCTATTCCAAATTTGTGTTCATCAGTCATTCAGTAGGTTTTGACCTACGGTCTGCAGCCATATAATAAATCCACAGATACCTATTCAGGGATCCGCATAACTCAACTAAGAACTCACAAAAGATGCTTAAACTGTAGCTAGGAGTTTGCACACCCACTGGAAATGGWATATGTGTGAGATTTGCAAATCAAAAGGAGAAGAATGACTGTGGTAAGACAGAGKATATCAAGGTTGCTTACTGTGCATCTCTCAGTCTACCCTAGTTTCCTAACCTGTTATTAGCTACAGCTTACATAGGTCATATCCACAGAGCCAAAGGATAAACAGAATAACACTCAGAATACAGCCTGTTTTCATGCTATTCYCTCCCCTTTCCTCAGGTGTACTGAAGAATTCCATGATATGAAGTCCTCAAGAATGAGAGTGATTCTTACTTGTGCTTTACATCCTGATGTACTGTTACTTTGCACTTAGGCAACCTGTCAAATTTCATCCTCCTTTACTTTCACAGCCTCCCTCCCTCCAAACGAGCATCAGCCTGAGCTCAGCCTTGGCACATACTGGTCCACACCCCAATACAGTGCTCTGTCGAGGCTCCCAGAAGACAAGCTCCCCTGGATAGGGAGTAGATCTTCCAGCTTCATAACCACTTCTTACCTTGCTGGACAAGTGGCTTTGTACAGATAGCCAGAGGCACATTCCTGCTCACCAGCTTTTTTGGGCTGGAAACCTTTCCTCCTTGGTCCATACTGGCACTCCATTACAATGGCTCTGCTTCCTGGGAGCAGAAAGTAAACTACTTGATCATATATTCAAGCAATCACTGAGGTCCAGTCCCTATAGTAAAACAGTAACTACAGAAACAATGAGAGCTCWCCGATACTTATTTCTATTTAACATCAGACTTGTAAGAAGGCAGAATAATTAGTGCAGAAGCTTTTCAGTATGGTACAAATGCTTCTCATATAGCACCTAAGGATCACATAGCATTTTCAAAGTATTTCCCAAACTAACCATGCATTGCAACACCCTTAGAAGACATACAGAGAAGATAGGGAAGATATACTGTGGTAAAAGAGGCTTCTGTCTTCATGAATACCAATACTTCACATAATAAGAAGCCTTGTGAGGCACCRGCAGAGCACAGTGGCAACTGACGTTGGAATTTGAAAGAAGTTATTCAAATGAAAGAAGTTAGTTACCTGTATTGACAAAAGGGATCCCATCGTATGGGACATACTGGGATTTCCACATCAGCCGCGTGGCGGGTTTGGCTGGGCTTGGGGACTGGCGTGTCCCCCACACACTCTGCGTTTGCTGCTTGTGTAGCATTAGGACACCCTCTAACTCGCCCTCACTCACACAATAGCCACGGTACGAGTCCCCAATTTTCTGCATGGAAAGGAGGTGAAATAATAGGATTATTCATCAGCTGACTGACATCTGGTATCCAAGAAAACAAGAGCAGGCTGGGACTCTGGAAAGTGAGGATACCATTTCAACACACACCCCCAACACCTGAGCTGAAGTGAAGACCTCTGCTCACACCAACAGCATCCMCCTTTTAGTCACTTGGAACAGACACAATGTCTATGGTTAGCAAGAACAAAATCCAGCAGAGAACAAGCAGAATGGACAAGGTTGCTGCCAGCATGATCCTAAAACCATAGGGTCACAGACCAGCTGCAGCTGCAGCCTGGTACCTCAGCTGCTTATGCAGCAGCTAAGCCTAACCTTCTGACCCAGCTTTACCTGAAGCCAAAAATGAAGGAATTCCTTTTCTCTCCCCTACTCTCACCTCAATGAGGGGATACAAAAGCCAAAACTAAAATGCACACATGAAGACTGGTTTTGCTTGAGCAAAGTAACAGCGGTGGGATGCGAGAGGCATTATGCTGTTCAGACACCACAAATAAGCAGAACAGTTCAAGGCAACTAGGAAATCAACACCAGCCACAGAGGTTAGTGCTGATTTTGAACAGCTGTAGCTTTTCCTGCTCCATGTTTGATGGTGCCTGACTACCAAGACAGTCATCGCCATTTGGGGTTCAGTTCTGGTCTAAAATATGGTGAACTTCCCAACTGAAAGTAAGAGGAACTCAGTATAACCTTGTTGAGAACACACAGGAAGGAACAGAGTTCCAGTCACTCCTCCCTGCACGGTGGTCTCCGCAGGGTGATCAAGAACAAMACAGAGTTTGTTTTTCATTTGCTTGTTTGTTTCTTTAAAGGGAGGAAAAATGCAACAGGCAACAGCTCTGCTCAACAGTATAGACAGATCTTTATATCCTCAGAACATAATGGTCAATTGAAACAGTGACATCTAAAAATATACAAATAAAAAGAAAGTGCTGTTTGGGTCAAAAGACACCAAAGGGTTGCAGAAAGGCACCAAACACGCAAGTTCTCCATTTGAGGTGGTGAATTAYCCATAGGACAGATGGACATTTTATAGGCTTTCAGTAGGTAATCAGAAAAAGAGTAGCAGCTTTTTAAATATAAAGCTTCTCTCACCAAAAAGTGTGYAAAAATCCTAAAGCAAAAACAGAACAAAACTGTGCAGCTGATACCACAGAATTTTTTCATAAGAGAGAAAAAAAGGCTTCAGGTAACCACGCTTACACAACAAAAAGCAAATCTGAGGGAGTATCTAAAAGCTAAATGTTTTACTAAACATTGACGTTAAGGTGTTCTTCTCCGTCCCAGACTAGGCCTCAACAAGTGTTTTTCAATTTCTAGAGGAAAAYACCAAGTGATGTGAACCACTACAGACTTATGCCATATTAAAGGAATTTTATTCTTTAATTAATGAATCACTAGTGTAACAAAACAGCAATTTGCTCAGTAGAAGCCACCAGGCTTCTGAGAATCAGTAACTTTTTCTAGTGCTGCAGTATTAAGAGCATTCAATTTCTAGCATTACAAAGGCTCCCACAGTATTTTACATTTTATAATGTGCTAGTACCAGTGCTTTTTCATAGAACCAGCGTGCTTGACAACATGCAAATTTTACAACTATAAGAATATTCCTTTAAGTGTGTTGTGATCTAGACGAAATAAACCACCAAGTCAGAATTGTTTGCAGCCCACCTCACAGTTCCTGAGACGGTGTGCCCATGGAGGTGTATTTGGGGGCAATGGCTGGACAGGAACAGGAAAGGGATCTTCCAATAGCCTAAAAAATAAGTAAAAAAAAAAAAAAAAAAAAAAAAAAAAANAAAAACACATCCGTTGAGACAACCAGGAGAGCAATAGTTTAGTCTATTACATGAAAACAGTATATTATATATACACTCCTACAGCATCTGACTAAGCTATAGACATTGTAAGACATTATATCAACTCGCCTTGAAAATGTAGGTTTCATTTTCCCCATATTTGATTTTATTGCCCAATTACTTCACTGTAAATATCGATATTTAAAATATCAGTTTTAAATTTAACACATACATAAAACATCAGTTGCTCGAGTCAAAATATATTCAACTTCCTCTGGAATTCAGGCTCTTTAACTGCTCTTTTCATTGCTCCATCACACACAAATGCTCCCTGCAAACACTGGATGCTACATGTCATTCACTAATTCTAACAAACCACGATCTCCATAGAAACTTTCTCTGTTCATTTTGTAGTAACTGTTGCAAAAACAAACCGCATGAAAACCTAGCAATACTACTAGCAGGTCAAAGTGCTTTGTAATCTTTTTAACTCCTCACCCACCTTGTGATGTTTCTTTTTGATAGAGAGAGAGATGCATGTGGATGTAGAATGTAACTGCTTGCAGTGTCTCCTACAGCAGCCACTGCTACTGTCTGCAAGTTCCCATCACCACACTTTTCTTCTGAAACATCTTTGCAAAAACAAAATATCTTCCTGGTTAATAGCTGAATAGATATGAGGAAATAGCAAGCTACAATTAAATTGTGCATGTTGGAAAAGAGTTTTTACATAAGAAATAAGAGGATTTCAATATGACAAAACTATGAAGAAGTTCAATAATTGTGAATCAATACTGATAAAGTCTACAAACTTGATAAGGTTGTAAGCTAGTACATAGACCTCAGCCATCTAGCTAAGCCTGCAAATGAAGACCCATCTTTCAGATTTCACTGTGTTTCTTTTCCAGAGAAAAACTTAAGTTCTGTGTACGGAGCTGTGCATCTCACCCTATGCTTACACACCGGCAATGAAACGAAAGGTACASTTCATTTTCTTCATTGGGAACTGATTTTCTCCATAAATAACAAACTTCTGTGAAACCAGAAATGAATTACTGACAGTAGTTTCCAGAAAAGAAAAAAAAAAAAAGTCTTCTGCTGCGTCACTTGAACTAACTGCTTCTCTTAAAATGAAAAAAGTAACTCAAAATTGAAAATACAGTTTTGCGATTTAGCAAAAAAATCCTCTGTAACAGTAAATAAGACAAGAAGCAGTTTTGGGCTTGACATTCCAGTTTACTCATTACATAAAGCAAACACAATAGTTCATAAGGCTTTTTGAGCCTTAGTTCAAAAAGCCTTAGTTCATAACTATTGTTCATAAGGTTTTTTGTCCAAAAAAAAAAAAAAGGGGGGGACAGTAGATTCACATTTGGAAGGTAAATTGGTAAATTCAGCATATATTTTTGTAATTATCTTAAGGAAATGAAGAAAAAGCAAAGAATTAACTATGAAATTTTTAAAATTAACTAATAATTCAATGCAGGTTAAACTCACCCTGCATGCTGGTCATGTCCAGAAGCTGTCCTTGAGGAACAATCACTTGGGCCATTCCTGGCTGGGCAGAAGGAATGACATGAAGCACCTGTCCGTGTTCGGAATGGCTGGCAACAATCATCTGTAAAGCAATTACGCATAAAAGTGAATGGCGCTATAACAAATTGGTGATTACCACACAGCATGACTGGCTTTGATTACTAGTAGAACAAGTTCTAGCTGGAACTAAGACCTTTGAGCTTTGTGCTTTCACACAGCACAAGCAAACAGATAACTAATTGTCATTTAAAAAAATACTTCAGTTTTTAAAATAGCATTCTAACTCACTAGAGAGGAGAAAACCTAGCAGGATTCTACATCGAATTATACACTTATTTGACATTTGGGACATCATTATTAAAGCTGCCAAAAAACCTAAGAATCACTCACCATTGGATTCAACATAATCATGGATGAGCAGAATTGATTACAAAATATAAAAACGTTGTTCTTTATTTCTAAGAAAGTGAGGTTAATGGGCACACTTAATGCAAAAAGAGGAGAAGTTTCGGGACTTTAAAAACAGACAAAAAAAGCTTGCCTGATATTCTTGGAAGCCTAACAACCATTCATTATGGTGAACACTCTATAGTATCAAAGATTTGTTGACAAGTCTTTAGATGCGTGAGCTGTCTTCAAAAAGAGTACGACACATGCTAAACAAACTCTCTGGACCAAACAGTCATCTTTTTGTAAAGTAAGTGCTAAGAATTGCAAAGTAATGTTTTGAGCAGATTAAATGCGGGGGATGGGAGAGGGTCTTAATAGATAAGCTTAAAAACAATATAGTGAATATAAAGAAAGCAGTGGCAAAAGTGCATGCCCTTGCACAATCACAGCTAGCCTAACAAAACATATGATATTGTTATTTTAATAAAATTAGTAACAGCTGAAGTCAGGATTTGGCTACTTGGCCAAGAACCACGAGAGCATGACCTGAACTGCTGAAAAGTTCCACCTTGTTGCTACAGATGAAGTCTGAGACAGCTGTTTTGACAAACCAGCACCACCTAAGAAGTTCCCTCAAAGGTTCCTCCTTCGGGAGGAGGCCGGCGCTGCTACGGATGCGCTCACCATGTGCGCGCTCGGCCCTCCCAGCGCGGGCAGCTCGGAGTGAGGTCGACCCTCCGGGTTTAGCAGCCAGGCAGGCACAGCCGTGCACGGAGCGCTGCCTGAGACACAGACGGCAATGGGGTCTCTCTGTCCAAAGGACAGCTCCCTGGAATCCATGCAGGTTATATGCTTTCACAGAGGAAAATCGGTGGAATGTATTTCAATCCTTAGTTGTAATTTGTGCTAAAAAAAAAAAAAGATAATAATAAATAAATAAATAAAAGGGGCATTCTACATTTTATTCTCAGAGGGTGCTCCTTTCCTTCCAATCAAGACACTACTAGCTAACACTAACATTTCTGTTTTTGTTTTTCATTTTGGCATTGAAATTATGAATACATTTCTGCTTCCTAGAATAGACAGTCTAAGGGGAAAGGGTTCAATTTGATCTGATCTTCCAAAGTTCAGAACGTACCTTAGACGCAGGCACATTAAATATTTCGTTAATACAGGATTTTGTTAAGACAACACAAATACTTCAGCACTGTGGCAGAATCTACAAAATATCAGTATTAAAAGGCCCTCTAGCTACATGTTACATGTATATCTTCATGAGTTCAAAGTAAGGAACTGTGATACTTTGCGAAAGGACACACTGTATTAGTATCAAGAGAAAAATACACATATTGACAAAATATCATACTGTAAAGTCSAAGAATGAAAAGAAAAGATCCATAATGACAAGACATTCAGATTTACCTTAAAAATCCAACCATGTCTCTTGGACTGCCCTGTACTACTACAGTCAATCACCAACACGTATTTGTATCTTTCCATAGTGACATCATGGTCAGCTGCGATTTCTTCCATTACAAGAGGACCTGGAAGGGTGACAAAACTTTATTTCAGCTTCCCATGTAAATATTCTTTAGACTCAATCAAGATATTGCTGCATTTTTTTGATCTTACTAATTTAGCCCTACAAGTACCAAAGCCATTGCAAGCTAATGACAGAGCGCTTGTTAAAAATTSGTAATTTATTTTTTTTTCCTGCAATGAGAAATAGATAAAGCAATAACATTGACGGAGCACAATTTAGCTTCTCATACAAGCAAAATCTGCTTTTCCAAAAGATCACAGACTTTGATGGGATTTGGTGCACACAGATAACAAAACATACATACATGCCCTCACACTCTTCATCTAAGTATGTCCACAAGCACTCATCCAACAGCCACATACATCTAGTTATTAATTTTGCCAAARCAATACATAGATACACTGAAGATATTGATGGCATAAAGTCCAAATGCATGAAAGACCTGGACCAAGAGCATTAGAAATCTACCATGGACCACAAGAATAGCTGCACTGGGATGGACCAATGGTCCATGAAGACAATTATCCAGCATCCAACACTGGTTAATAATAATCCAGGGAAAACGATAACAGTAGGACAAGTATTCAATATTTACCCAGCTTCCAGTTTCAATATTTACCCAGCTTCCAGTTATAAATAGCCCAGAAATTCTTGAGCCTTAAGTAGCGTATTTCTGTTTTAAAAGCCCTGGGTACATTTTTCTCCTGCGAGTTTGTCTAACCACTGTTTTCATTTAATAGGCCACCCACAAGCACATCAGTAACAAATTTCATAGTTTAACCACACAGGTTTTATTACTTTTTTTTTATTTTTTTTTAATTACTTTTTTATTTATTTTTTATTTATTTTATTTTATTTTATTTATTTATTTTTATTTATTACTTTTTTTTAATTTTTTTTATTACTATTATTTAGTTCTGAGCAACTCCAAACAAATGAACAAAGATGAATCTCATTCTAAAAAATAGATTTTTATGGATACATAGAAGTATAAGCATATTTAATAGATTTCATAGTCATATAAATAACACCAGCAAACTCCCTAAAAAGACAGGTAAATCCTACRTATGTCTATGTATACAAGGGCATAGCTGTATATAAACAATATACAGGTATCTCTTCCTTTCACAAAAATGTTGGCATCACAGGTGTTTCAAGCATGACACCACTGCCTCATACATTCAGTAACAGCTTGAAGAACTGTCACAATTTGGGGTTAGTGCAAAACTGGATTCAAGGCCCTATTCCTCTGCACATACTTCAAGCAGAAACAACTCCACACCTCAACTTTGGCCTTAGAACAGTTCCACCCAAACCACTTTAACCTACTTCTGCTCTCCTTGAATTCCACCACTCCAAGGCTGTTTCCAGGCCAAGTGCTAGGTTATTCTCACACTGAAAGAGTGCCTCCTTCTCCTCACTTCCCATTTGGGGAACAGGATGACTCCAATTCATTTGGTCATGGCACGCTCCTATGACAATATGCCTGTTGAAACCAGTGACATCTCTTGCACATGCTGCACTGTCACTAAATGACTGTCATCCACAAATGCAGCCTGCACAACATCAAATGCTCTAAAGAGGAACATGATTTCAATGCACAGAGCTGAATCTTTCATGTAGCAGAACCACCAATATCACCTGCAATCCACTCCTGTAATGGAGCCCATACTCTGATCTTTAAATATTTTTAAGACAAGAAAGTAAAAATATCATTACTTTAAAAATGTATTAGCGGCTGGCTATTCCCACCTCCACTTACGCCAGAGTAGCAGATTTCTGTATTTTMTTCCCTTTTTCCCTTTCACTTATGATCACACCTAGAAATTACAAGCAGCAGTCCCTAAAAACACAGCTTTCTGCACTAACCTCACCGTGAGGTCTCACAGTAACTTTSGCTCCTTGCATTTCCTCAGGCGACAGGGAGCGGGTCGGATCCCACATGGAAGCTCTGCTTCTCAGAATTCCAGCGCTCAGTGTTTCAGAACTGAGGCAACAGCGCAAGATTTCAGTCTCAAGAAGAAAGCTAAATTGTAAAATAAACAAATACTAAAATAATCGGGCGCCTGCCTCGTGAGAGGCGCCCGGTCTCGGAGAGCGCCGCAGGGGKAGAGCCGCCGGGCCAGCCCGCGAGGCGGCGGGGGCTCCTGGCCGCCCGGCGCCGCGTCCTGCTTCCCCTTGGCGCGGCGGTTGGGGCRGCCGTTACGCGCGGCCGTTACCCGGCCCCGCCCACCGGCCCGGGGAGCGCGAACGGCCGCTGCCCGCATGCGCAGGGGTCCCCCCGGCGGCGCCTCCGGGGCG